GGACCGGCACTGGTCCAGGCCTGATTGGAACTGGCCACACAGCAGGAGGTGAGCTTGAATGTCATGCCCTTGAATCATCCCGAAACCCTCCTTCATCCCCTGGTCCGTGGAAAAATTGTCTTCCATGAAATCTGTCCCTGGTGCCAAAAAGGTTGGGGACCATTGCAATAGCAGAGACTTTATTCAGCAGTGGCCACAGAACATGTAACATTAGTTTTTTGGTTTTGGGGGGTTTTTTTTGTAGAGAAAAATTAGCATCTAGCAAAGGTAATCAGACAAGTCCAGATACCAGAAAAAAGTCAAGTGGTCATTTGGAAACCTTGGAAAAAGATAGGCTAACAGTGACGGGAGAAGCTTTTTCCATCAGCTCTTTCTGCATGGCAGTCAGGCACTGTCCTCATGGACATTCCCAACACCACCAGGTCTCTCTGCCTCTACTGGGGAGCTTAGCTCCGAGATTCCACAGCTGTCTTTCTTTGATAAACTACCATGGTCTAATTATTTCTAGGTGAAGAATTACTGCTATATGAAGCTTAGTTTTCCCACTACCCAGTTGCTACCCAGTTTGCTGATTTTGACAAACTTTAAAGTAATTTGGCTGCTCACAGTGATGCTCCCTGCTGTTCCATGTTTCTTTCATAGCTGCATGGGTTTGAGCCAAGCTATTGTTCTACCTGAGAGGTAAATCTGTTTTTGCCAGCCTTCCCCCACTGCGGCCTCCCCCATAAGCTAGTTGTGGGGTAGGTGACCCCTTCAAAGCCACCACTGACCACACGGCTGTGTGCTCTACTGACAACTCTAATGAGGGAAGCCCTGGCTCCCCACTGCCCTCCCCTTGAAGTTGGTATCAGTGTGTGGTGGCAGCAAATGGAGGAGATCCTGTTGAAGACCCAGGTTGTAGCTATGTTGAGAGTTCCAGCCTCTCGCTGGAGGTGGTGGCAAGGTGATGGCCCCCAGCACAGGCTACCCCTGACCTGTGTGTCACATATCCCCAAACCAGCCCCAGAAAGACAGTCACTGAAAGCATCTCTATAGCTTTAGGCAAAAAGACTGACACTGTTTCAGGGGTGTCCAACCTTTTGGTATCTCTGGACTGCACTGGAAGAATTGTTGTCTTGGGCCACACATTAAATACATTGCAACATGTAATCACAAAGAAATCTCATAACGGTTTAAGTAAATTTACAATTTACTGTTGGGCCACATTCACAGCCATCCTGGGCTGCATGCATCCCCGGGCCGCAACATCCCTGGGCCTTTACACAGAGGAGCAATGGCTGCTGAGGATCTCCAGATCTCCCCACACAGAGCCCTTGAGATTCTTATACTGCTTAAACACCCGCTTCCTCATAGGCTTGCTCAGTTTATGTGAGATCTATGGCAAATGCCAGATTGGTTAGTCACAAAGTTCAGCTTTATCCTCTGCAGAATGGCCAAGCAGATTAGCTTCTATGCAGAAGACACCCATTTTCTTCTGCTTTTGATAAACACCTAGTCATCTTTCCAAAGTCAGCGCAGCCATCATTTCCCAGTAAAGCTTTCTCTCCCCAAGTGAGAAGTCCACATTTCCCCTTCTGCAAAAGATTGCTGTGGGAATATTTTTTTTGTATCTACATATTCTATGTGGATCTCTTCTTCTAGATCATTGACCATTGGAGGTCAAATCTCAAGTATTATTCATTTTTTATGTCTACAGCACCCAGCTCAGGGTCTAATATGCACTTTATAAATAATCAATAAATAGTTATAAATGGAACTAAATCAATTTATTTAATCAGCTGTCCTTGATAGGTTGTATCACTACTGTAAAGAGAGAGAAAGCATGAAAGACTAATTTCATATGCAAACTGCCTTACTCCCATCATATCACCCAACCCCCTACATACACACTCTGACTGTGGGCCCTGGAAAGACACTTCATGAATACAAGCAAAGACACAATCACACACCAGGACGAAGACTTCCTGCACAAGTCTGCAGCATTCCCTGTGAATGGGCTGTCTGTCTGTGCCTACCCATGTAGCATTGAAAGTTACCCATCCCCACACATGTGCCTGGGAATATGCTAAAGATTCTCCCAATCCCCTTAATAAAGTGGCCTCTTCATAAAACTGGCTTTGTCCTCTGTGGAGATTACAGACTTAAAGAAAGTTACAAACCAGCGTTCATTCCCTTCTTTAACAATTGAGTACAGAGGATCGGCTTTTTCTTGATCTGTTGCTGGGTGGTGATATGACACCACTGAACTGGGTACAACAGAATCCAACATAAAGGCCTTATTAAAAGAAGTCAAGCAGCTGAGTGATGCCAATTGGATAAACTGGGCGATATTTGCATACCTGTGGGGAAAACACATAGTGACTTTTGAAATTGTTTCATGCACCATGATTTTTAATTCAGGTTTAGTTTGATCTTTCAGATTTTTGCTCCCTTCATGGTTGAAAGGCATTCCATATTCATGTGACATAATAATATGAATAATCTGCCAAAGCATAAACTTGTTCCCTTATTTTATGCAGCCTGTAGTTTATGCTACATTCAGCTAAAAAGTGTGAGGGTTCAGCAGTGAACAGGGTGGTTGAGAAAAACATCTGAGGAGGTAGTGGAGCCGATCAAAGCCTTTTAGGTCATCTTAACAGGATATTTTACGTGTTCTTGATGCACAGAGATGGAAGGGACCTTAGGGAACATAGATGGCAGTCACTTGCCTCTGGGCTGTGACAGAGAACACTCTTTGAGCTACATGGATGCACATGTGTCATTCAAGAAAGGAGATTCCGTGTCAACATTAATCAATTGCAGTTTTTAATAACCTTCCTTAATAAAAAGATCTTCTTATATCTGACCAACATTTTTTCATATTGCAGTTTCTCTACTGAGTTATTTTTTTCACAGTAGAGACGAAAGAAATCATTCATCACCTTCTTACTGTGTAACAGGTAGGTACAAGACTCTCCTCATCACCACCAGGCATTGTTTCAGTTCGGTTCTCCCTTCCAATGCACTGATCATCTTTATTATTATCTCAACCCTGGCCAAGTTCCCCAGATCCACAAACATCAGCCTGTGGAGTACACCCTTTACGATCACTTGGGAGCATGAACAACGAGGTGGTGATTGCTTAGTCCCAGAGTGTTATGTAGGGTGAATATTTTTCCAAATTGAATTTGCTTTAAAAAACCCAATGCTTATTTCAACATCTATCATGTGACAAGTACAGTGCTGATTTATGGGCTATGTTTCCTTCAGGTCATTCTGCCAGAAGAAAATGAATTCAACCTGGAGAGGCGGAGGAGGCTTCTCAGGGCTTCAGTCCCCAAAAAGGCAGCTGAGGGCTGCAGATTTGGGCAGAACCACCATGGCAAAGAGGTAGCACACGAAGACTTTTATATGTGTTCCTCACACCAGGGGCTGTTTTACACAATTTCCTCTATTGCTATGGAATTGTGGAACATTGGGCTGACATAATAGGGAGGTCACCAGAGCAAGTCCACAGTATCAGGATTGGTGATAGCTTACCATCCAGGGGAGATTTCAATTCCACCACTTACTGCTGGTGAGGCTTTGGGAAAGTTATCTAATGTCTATGAACCTCAGTTTCCTTCCTTGTGAAGTAGGGATATTCATTAGTGCATTATAGTACTTTCATGAGGATTATGTGAGATAATATACGTAAAGGCTTAACTCATGATAGCTATTATTTTATACAGTTGTCTATTTGCTATGTAGAGTTTTCTAGGGATGGAGTCACTGTATCTATATTCTTGTTTTCTAGTATTTTATCAAGCAGGTGACTGATTTCTTCCTTATACTCAACTGAAATCAGCCCAGTTTGAGGAGGCTTTTGTTGTAGTTGTTGACTTCCTTCCATGTCCTCTAGCAATGGTTAGTCCAATATTTGAGTACTAGACACAGTCATAGGGAGCTTTCCATATCTATACATGCTTTACCCCATATAACCCCACCTCTGTCCTCTCTTATGAAACAGTTCTTCCTCAGTGCACCTATGTGCACTGGCTAGTGCCCTGCTCTGCCTCAACTCTGGCTAGTGCCCTGCTCTGCCTCAACTCTGTTTAGCTCTGAGAGTTTGGCCCGTGGTTAATAGGTCCCTTCCCAGAAGGAGTCAGTTAACACTGGCCTAGACCAAAATGGCCATGGAATTGGCCTTCCAGAAGACCTCAAACCTCTTTATAATCTATTATTAAATGGCACACCCACCAGCACCAGGACAGTCGACCATCACTATGATGACAACTGGAGGGGACCATAGAAGGACACACACACAGAAGGCATGACCCTGGTTCTGAGAGGACTACCACCCATTTCCTCTTATTTGCCTGGACCGCCCCTTTATTTCTGTCCTCCTATATCCACAGCTTCTAGTCCCAAACCCACGAGAGGTTGATCTGAGAGCTACTAGTCTCCCACTTCTCCATTCTCTGGCCATTGAGTTACTAAATAAAGCTTCTGCTATTAATGCTCACTTTCGGTTTTGTATTTGGCTTTGCAACACATGATGGAGAAAGAACCTCCTTGGGGTCCCAGAAAGGGGGCTTTTGCCTCTTGGGTAATGAAACCACATTACAGGTGAGAGAACCAAGGCTCAGAGACGCCAAGGAAGGCCCCTGAGACTACACATGTGGAGCCTGGATTCTAACCTGATCTTTCTCCCTTTTCCCTTAGCCATGCTGCTCCCAAGATATACATTTTGTCTCTTTCTGGTAGACTAAGTAATTCCTTATTTTCCTAAATGGCAACCAACTACTGTTAAAAAAATATATACATATATATATAATTTTAGAAACATAAATCATGTTACCCATTTCAAATACTTTTAAGAATGAATAATAATGGTGATGTTGGGTTACAGGTGAAAGGTGTGTTTTAAATATGAGTGGAAAATTAAACCTATGATTAGTAGTAGCAGGTCCATTTGTTTTCGTTAGTTTTGACCAAGTTAGAAGGATTAATGTTTTCCATCTCATGACACCTTTACTTACAGGTTAACTGGCTTTAACTCAACATGATCCTGGTAGTAGGAGTGCGCATCAAGTCCGCCTATGAAATCAACTGAAAATATAACAGCCCAATATGAATAAATGTGTAGGTAAAACACACATCAGAGTAGGTGTTTAAAATAGAACACATACAAATACTATGAACAAAAATGTCTATCACAAAATGTAAAAACGTGTGTTTACTGTAAAGGACAGCTCAAAATACTATCAATGGTCAAAAATGGGGAAATTTTCAGAAACACAAAGAAGTTGGCATCTTAGTGACTAAAAATCACAGTTGTTATTGGTTTTAGTGAAAAATGAAGTCACATTAAATAACATCAGATTTAAAACAATGGGTTTGTCCTCAGGCATACAGCTATGCACTTTCCCTCTATATATCAAAAGACATATCTTCTGATTTTGTTGCCAGGATCCATTTTTATTCTTAAGAATATTTATTGCATCATTAGAAAGACCCTTGAGAAGTCACATAATCTATGTCCATGCTTTCTGTCCCCAGACCATCCCTGACAAATAGGCGTCTGCCGTTTGCATAGAAGGTTTCATCTCCTCTCTGGTAGCACCGCACTTGTCTCACAGCCCGTACAGAATCACTGTTCTGGGTGATATTCATTCTAGGGTTTTCCTGTCTTGATCACAGAGCCTCTGTCTTTCTTTTCCAATCCTAATGTCCATGGCTAATCTTAGTTCATTTTCTTTGTGTTTGGGGGTCCATTAAAATATTAATTACTTTATACCAAGCTTCGGTTTTATTATGGCACTTTAACATCAGCAGGTACATAGGCCTATAGGGACACTGGACTCGTGTGTGTATGTGTGTGTGTGTGTGTGTGTAGATTTACAGTATGAGAGGGATATTATATTATATCCTCAGCTCAAGACAAGCATTTCAGTGAACACTGGTTTAGAGAGAGATGACAGTCTAGAAGCTCTCTTGAATCCATGATCCAGTTAAGCTCTAGCCACTCCTATCAATCCCTGACCTGCTTTCTCCTTTGCATCTGCCAGAGAAGGTGAGGTAAGACTGGGTCAGTCAAAGCTTCACGGGATCACAGTGTGGACAGAAGCCTTGGAGTCCCATGGTGTACATAACAACTAGGCTGAAAGAACTATTTCCAGATCATCGCCCTGGAGACCAGAGAAGCCTGAAGCTGATCTTTTCCCTACCAGTAGTGGACACTACCCTGGACACTACCCTGGGAGAGAAGCAGTGGGAGGGGAGTCAGTCCGAGGCACTGAAAAGATTTTCCTGGGGAGATTAAGCAGCGCCTAAGGAGACTACTTAAAGGGTCAGATTAGACCAAGGTTGTTTTTATTATTTTTATTTTTTATCAGATTAGATATTTAATCAAACATTTACTCCTTCACTCTGCTGACCTATGGGTGAGAATTTAAAAGGAAGATAACATTGACTAAAAGTTGAATGAGTGTATCATTGACAAAGACACGTTAGAAAGTTAAAGGGATTGTTAAAAAGAAACATTTTTATAAATACGTAAATTTGTGAATAAAATGGTTGAATTAAAAATTGTATCCAAAATAAAATTATAAAAATAAAGGGAGCATATATATATATGCTTTAAGCCAAGATAAAAACAAAAATTTTTATTGGTGATTTGAACATTAAAATGCAACATTAACAAAATTATTACTTTGGGTATAAATTCAGGTAGCTGTTGAATCTGCTCCTTAGCCACCTGTGTCTCTCATACACCATATCACTGGTGTTTTTAGGGAAGGATATACATATCATATATCTTTTTCAACATGGCTTTAGCATTTTCATAAACTTATTTACAACATTATTCAAAATTTATTTTTATGATTATTAAATTTAAAGTTATTGATATCTTAATTAACTATAACTCATAGTATCTTTAATTGTGGAAATATTTTCCAAATAAATCAACACCAGGCAAGTTTGCTAAAGAATGGGAGTAAAAGACAGAAAACTGCTCTCAAACAATTAAAATAAAATTTAAAAAAATGGAGACCATAAATATATGGTCTGTCCAGAAGGTATCCAGCCATGTAATATGAAAAATACAGACATTTATAGAAGAAGGTACAAGAAACAGTGTACATAGGACAATGACACCTCAGTTTCCTTCAAAGTAGGCACCTTGGCACCTCACACAGTTCTCCCAATCACCATCAGCTGCCCATCATATTTTCCTGAATCTCATTGATGGTCTGAAATCTCTTCCCTTTCAAAGCTGATTTTAGTTTTGGGAAAAGCCAAAAGTCACAGAGCACCAAATCTGGCCTGTAGGGGGGCTGAGTCACCTGGGTGATTTGATGTTTCACCAAAAGACTCTGCATAAGATGTGAGGCATGAGCAGGAGTATTGTTATGACGAAGCCGCCAATCACCAGTTGCCCATAGCTGTGGCTTTCTGAATCATCCAAATAGTTTCCATGGAGGAGTGTTCAAGTTTAATGCAAAATTCAATGCAGATTTGTTGCTCTACTCGCTCAGTCATTTTTAATGTGATGGCCGCAAGTAGAAAGTCTCACTCGGTGGTGTGTACCGCCCCCACTGACTAGCACAGTGAAGTCATCCAACCACTCTTGTTATGTTAACAGTGGCTGGACTTTTTTTGGATAGATCTCATATATATATATATGATGTAGTTTGTAGTTTAGCCCAAATACTTGCCCAGGCACTGTTATTTTACTTCCATTCAGTGTATCTTTCTTTGCCAAAAATTTTATGAGAAAAAACAGATATCTACTTATTATTCTCTTCACCAAATATAGCTGCAAAATTTTTGACCTTCTCACAAATCAGTTTCTTTCTATTCTGAGGCAAGATAGAATCTTTTCTGGAGTCAAGATAACTATTTCAAAGAGAAATTATAAAACTGCGAATGAAATCTTGTATAACATTTGAGTTCTCATTATTTCACGTGTCCAGTTCTCTTGCTGTAATGAGCATGAATTGGTAAGTCCTCCTTCTCCTAAGCTTTCAATTATTGCCATTTACTAAAAGCTGCAAAAGATGATTTTGAGAATGCTTCATTAGTTGAATAATTCAATTTAAATTTTTCAACTGATCTTGAATACCAAGCAACTAACATGGAGAAATCTCACTTATAAAAGTGCTCACAACCATCGTAGGAAACTCAGATTAATTTACCAACTAGTTCTTTAAGGCTGAGGTGTTCCCAACTCTGACTGAAGGAGAGAAGCAAAGAGAGAAAGTGCATTTTCTCATCCTGAAGGCCTTTTTGTTTGTTTTCAACACCAACCTCACTACAAAAATGTTCTCCGGGAAATGCAAATCAAAACCACAGTGAAGCTCGATCTTATTCCCACTAAGCCAGGTTTAATAAAACAAAAATCCGATAATAACAAATGTTGGTGAAGAAGTGGAGAAGTTGGAACCCTCATATGCTGCTGGTGGGAATGAAGATGGTGCAGCAACTTTGGAACAGAGGCAGTGCCTCTGGTTAAACGTGAAGCTACCATAGGACCCAGTTGTCTCACTCCTCGTGTGCACCCAAGAGAAATGAAAACATGTGTCCACACAAAAACTTGTTCACAGTGTTTATAGCAGCATTATTCATAATAGCCAGAAGGTGAAAAAAAATCCAGTTTATTTACCTTAACATGCATGCCTGTATAAATAGATATAAATCTTGAAAACTCAAGCTTCTATTTTCATTGTTCCAATATTGCATGCAGCTTTATTGGGAAACAGTTATTAATTACCTGTGTATCTGAATTCCAGATGCATTTTTTGCTTCATGAATTCTTAATTTAATAAGAAGTCTATGCTTTTTTTAAACCCACAATGCTGTGCTCCACTAAAATTTGTATTATTACCACAAAATAAATGATTTTATTTTTAGTATTCACTTCTTAATTGAATTAGCACTCCATTTAAAGTAAAATTAGAAGTGTTAGCTTAGACAGAATGAATATCTAAAAGTTTTACTTTGATTCTATGAATTGGATTAAAAAATCAAACCATATTTGAAAAGTTCATTGGTTTTCTGCTGCAAGCATCTGGTGAACTGGTAAAATACTGTATTTACCAGTGGGATTTTAGCTCTATGGGAAATTCTCTCCCACTGCTGGAGGCAGTCCGGTGCCCTCCACTGACCCACATACCAGCCCTGGTCTGGGGCACCGGCTGCTGGTAGGAGCCTAAGCTTCCAGCACTTTCCCCACCTCCACTGGGCACAGGAAAGAATTAGCCATCTCTGCCATCCTGCCCACATTTCTACCTTTTCAATCCATTGACCTACCCACTGTGCTTGAAAGGAAGGGCTAATTATATTGCTTACTTAAAGATTTGGGAAGAAGAGGGTGGTGGTGTTGGTCTTCTCACAAACTTAACCATGTGTTGAAATGAGAATTCTACTCATTGCATTAACACCTCACACACCTTGAGGAAACTAGTGCAGAAGCCTGAAGTACTGTTGGTTTACCCGTCTTAGATCATCTTAATATAACTATTAATAATAAAGCTTCATGTGTAAACTAAATAATCTAGCCCAAAATCTAAACCAGATTGGATGCTGGGGCAACTTGTGCAAATGGAGACTGTTTCAACCAAACCAGGACATGTGGTCGCCCCTGCAGATGGCACTGCAAATGAGCCACATTTCCTCTGCATATCAGAATTCTAGTGTGATGGAAAATTTGCAAAAATCTAAAAGCAAAATATTACGTATCAGTAAAACTTACATTATCAAGCTCTGGAAGCAGATAAAACTATTAAAATATGCTATTTTTTAAAGGAGGAATTAAGGAGCAATCACTGAAAAGTGGACAATTAAGAAACTGAGAACATCAAGAACCTCTTATGTAAGGGACACAACAATGTGGCTTTTTTGGCAACAGAAACCTCCAAATCCATGAGATAATGATGTTTCCATATTTTTTTTAAATGAGGCTTTTTAATGCATATGCTAACACTTCTCATTTGCCAAAGTAGGAAGACAATTCAAGTAAAGGGGGAAACTGAAGTATAAATGGAGGGCAAGTTTACAGACTCTGAAAGCCTTTTTTTAATGATGTCAAATGCTTTAAAAACATTGAA